CGTAGCAAGCAGAAGGGTCTGTACAGGGACTGATGTCTGCTGAGGTCTGTTTGTGGATGTTAGCACCCTTCCAGCCTTCCAGCACATGTCTGATCCTTGCAAAATGCTATTGGAGATCTCTATAAGCTCATCAGGGATCTGCCAAGGTCACAGTGCTGGTCTTATTGAAGCTCACAAGGAGGCTTGGCTGCCTTAGGGGCTCTGCCCTTGTAAATGATGCGTACTTTCTGGGGTTCTACCTGCGCTGCACATGTAGGACAGCACTGCATATGCATTACAAATCTCTTACAAAGTGCTGCGGAAGGAAAAAAAAAAAGTTATCTCGTGTGGAGCTGCAAGAATCTTGGCTCCCCTGTTTCTGGCCTCCAGCCAGCTTGTTTGGAGCACTGCTACGTGCTGATGGATGGCAGACAGGATAGTTTGTTATCCTTTCTGCAGGTATGCAGAAATACACATTTGTTGGATTTTTATCCGTTTTCTGAATCAGTTGCAACTGCTTTATATCATATCGTACCACGAACACCTAAAACCTGCCTACGTATTGATAGCTTACGTTAGGCCAAGGAGGCTAAAGGGAGGAAAACTATGGGAGGAACCTTGTATTTTTTGATGTAAGAATGAAGTTCGGCAGGCTGAATGCATGAATCACTGCTGCCTCCTCTGTGGGTGTCTTGATGAGGCAGTTTCAATCCGTCTACCAGATGCGTGGTTTATTTATTATTATCTTGACTTCCAAACATCGCTTGCTTTGAGCATCTGAAGACAAAGGCAGCTAATTAACAAATGAAATCAGCAAGCTGCGTAGTCCCAGCAGCTGGAAAAACATGATATAGCAAATGCAGACCGTGGTCCCACTCTCACAGTGCCCACAAGAGACTCCCTGGTGCTCAGCTGAGGGCTGCAGCACGCCATCCGTGTTCCCTACCCACAGCCAGTGGGTTCTCCAGTGCTTTGCCATTCAGCATACAGAGGATGTTGGTGCTATCTGCCAATCTTCTGTACACCTCCTACACCAACATCCCCAACCACAGCGCTGCAATTCCCGACCCGTTTAGATTAGACCCATTTTGAACAGTTCATGCTGGGATTGCTTGAGAACGCTGGGATGTATGAAGGGAATTCTTCCAATGCGGTGTTGAACATGCCTGTGCCATCTGGGCTTCAGAAAGTGTTTGGTTCAATTCAAAGATTAAAGACTGCAAAATTGAACCTAATGATGGCATAAACCTCTGTGGAAAACATACTTCGGTAATTATTTTCGTTTTAATTAGTAGACTTCAACTACATAGCAACACTCATGACTTCATTTTAATACGGAGACTGATTACTGTGTTAATTCTTCATAATTTGATCAACCTGGAAATGAAACTTTTAGAATTTCTTTTTTTTTTCCTCATCAAGCACGTCAGAAATGCATCTTGTCGAGCTCCACAGTGCTAAGCCTGTCTCAGTTGCAGTGAGATCTCCCTGTCTGTTCAGTGACTGACTCTCTTTCCCAGGTTAATGGTTTGCAATACCTGAAGTCAGTGGCTTTCTCCCAGGGCTGGGAGGCTGGGAGCCTTGGCTGTTCACATGCTTCTGTGCATGGATATTATAGATAAGCACCAAGCTTTCAATGTCCTTTTTTTTTTTATTTCTTTTTTAGTCTATTTTAACATTTAAATATTAATGACCATTCAATTAAACATCAAAACTGGAGTTCAGGAGACATCTGTTAAGTGGGTATCAGTGCCACAGTGATCAGGTGGCTTTAAAATAGCCCGGAGGTTATCAATTTGGCACTGGCCTGTCTCCACTGTAATAGCTCTGCAGAATACCTTGGCAGTATTATAAGAAACGTATTTTGTGTTATGTCTGCAGCTCTCACACTGTCTGAGCAAAATACAGTCTTATATAACAAGGCAGTAAAACATTTGTCTAACCCTGCACAGCAGCAGGGCAGGCAGTTGTTTGGTGAAATCTGACAACAATTGCAAGCATTATTTTGTCTCCTATTAGTGCTTCTTCTTTCACTGTGATGCAGCTGTTGAGATCTTCCCAACTGCTGATGGAAAAATCAGCCATGTTCTGCAGTGCCAATTTTGTATTAATTAACCATTATGAAATGCTTTGGCAGAAGGTTTGCTGCGTTTCTGTTCCCAACTTAGATTTCTTTGAGATTTCTTTATACTCTTATCAGAATCCATCCCACATCATATTACAGGGCTACGTGGACAGAGGGCACGTGCTTCTCTCTGTTGCAGAGGAGGGCTGGTTGTTGTTGGGGTTAGAGCACACCCAGCACAGAGCCACTGCTAGAGGGCAGGCAGCACGAGCGAGGGATGGCATCACTCTTAGTATCACAAAGTTCTAACCACAGCATGTCAAGCTTTGAACACCAACAAGGACAGGTATCCCACAGTCTCTCTAGGACCCTGGCCAGGCACTATTCTGATATCATAAGGACTTTCTCACCTTCAGCCAGGAATAATTTCTCTGGCTGCTGCATATACCTGTTGGTTCATGATTTTTTTCCTCTCTAATTCTAGGAAGAGTTGACCTTTATCTTCTCTCCAGAAGACTGTAGTCAGTCAAAGAAAGACATTGGGTCACTCTTCCACACTTTCTCCTCCAGACTGGCCAAACGCAGCCCCCCCAGTCCCCACCTGTATGTCCCCTGCTTCAGCCCCTCTGGTTCTTGGTGCCCTCTGTGCTCACTTCAGCACATCCATGCCTTCCTCTTTGAGGAATGGAGACAGATCAGCGCAGGCACGGAGCTCAGGATGTCTCAGAGGTGTGGATGGAGGGGAGATCCTGTATGTGCCCTTATGTGCTGCACTCTTGCTGCTGCAGCCGGGATGTGACCAGCCTTCACAGATGTAGGTTTGAGCATTCAGCTTTTCCACCAAGACTTCCAGGCCGCTCATGCAAGCAGTTCAATGTCCAGCCAGCCTCATCTTGCCATGCGTTGAGCATTATGCCCATAGGCTTCACATTTATTGTTGATCTTTAAGGTCCCTTCCAACCTCAGCACTTCTATGATTCATCTCTAGCCCCGTGTTTAGGCTTTAAGCCATGCAGTGTGTGTAGGCCTGAGCAACTTTCTCAAAATGACTTTTTGGTCAGGACCATGACACAGGGCTTGGATCTCTGCAGGCGTATGGGCTTAGAAACTGAAGCAGTCTAATTTTCTTCCTTTTATTTCCTATTGCGTGAGTAGAAGATGGCGTTTCCGCAATCCCATCCCTTTTCAGATGCTGCCGTGATTTAAAATAACCTTTAAAACAAAAATGAGATCTCATTAGAAAATGCCATCCTAATCTGGAACAACAGTTTCACAATTTGTTTCTGTGATATTCACTAAAATGTTTTGTAGAGTAGGGAGAAGATAACATTTACTTAAAATTCATACACCATTGCAAAGTATTATTGCTTGAATTATTCCAAATTTTGGAACATGTTTTGTTTATCATTGATCGAGAGATTCAAGCTTTTTTCTTATTACACAAATGCAAGTATAAGCTTCTACAGAATAAGTGCAGTCTGTTTTTCAGTATGGACTATGGAAATATGGTAATCTATTCAGGTTGTTAATGACAGGCTTCACTTATTAATCTTTTGTTTCTCTAAATTTCTAAACTATCAAAAATGGAAATGTTTTAAGAACTGCTACGCTGAGGTCCATCCATCTTGCAGAGTCCTGTGTGATGGGCATTCAGCCCATCTGGGGGCTGCAAAATGCAAGTGATGCTTCCACCAAAGCATCCAACCTAGTGCTGAAGGCTGGATGTGGCTCTGGGCAGCCTGGTCTGCTGGTTGGTCACCCTGCACATAGCAGGGGGTTGGAACTGGATGAGCATTGTGCTTCTTTGCAAGCCAGGCCATTCTGTGGTTCTACGAAGAGGAACAGAGGTGTGGGTGCCTTTGGACACAGCACCATTCCCTTTGTTGCTGCTGGTTGGGATGAGGTTTGAGCTCAGTGTTCTGTGTGTTGCTGATTCATGGCCTGGGGTGTGACGCATTCTATTTGGATAGATACTCATGTGTAGTAAGCCTCTGCAATATTAGGCTTGTGTTTCTGGGTAAATAATTAAGCACTACCTGACGTGTTATTTATATTTTAAGAAGAAAAAAAAATGCGCTGCTAACAACATTCTGCAGTTATTCCAGGCAAAGCTGAGATGCGCGTGGAAACGTGCCATATTTGTGTGCGCACAAACAGGATCAGTGTGGGTCTAATGGGACCAATTGCTCCAACACCCTGTGGTCTATGTGCTGTAACCACTGGGCAGCGACCCACCTTGGCTGCCAGCTCGTTGGGCAGCAAAGCTCTTCCCTAAAGCTCAGTGCAGAACTGCTGACCGCATTGCTTGGAGGCTGAATGTTTTTATCTAGGAATGAGTAACAGCAACCATTGCTGTTTCTGCTCATAATGAACTATAGCAAACCCCCACAGACAGGGGTCTACTTGTTTCTGGTGGAATAAAGCCCACCTGTAATTCATTAGGTGTATTTACATTCCAATGGCTATCTCTATTTCTTCTGAATTTAAAATGAACAAATTCTGTTCTGGGGAATTAATTTTCTCCACGATGATGTGGTGGGAGTAATTATATGATATCTGTATTTTAATCAAGAGAAGTGTGTTGTAAAGCCTGAATGAATTTACCTGCTTGAAGTTTAATGCATACGACCAAAATAAGGAAATATGCATTAAACGGCTGTATTAAATTGCTGCTTTAAAAGAATATGGATGCATGAGCATGATCAGCATTCTACTAGATCCTGCCATTAGGATGCAAATGAATCTGACTATTTATTACCAAAGCTTGATAAACTATTTTGTCTAAGGAATGCTTAAATTGAAATCATACATATGAAATAAGTAGTAAAGATGAAAACCAAGTGAAACCTAAATATTAGTGGAAACGTATCAGAAATGATGGATGCTACCATTGTATCTTGTCTATTGCACGGGCTGCAGCCTGACTTGACCTTGGTTCTCTGTTCTTCCTTTCCAGATCTGGATGACCCAATAGTGACAGTCCACCAGAGCATCGGTGAAGCAAAAGAGCAGTTTTACTATGAGAGAACTGTGTTCCTCAGGTGCGTGGCCAACTCCAACCCGCCCGTCCGGTACAGCTGGAGACGTGGCCAGGAGGTGCTGCTGCAGGGCTCTGATAAGGGAGTTGAGATCTACGAGCCCTTCTTCACACAGGTAGGAGCCATGGGGCTGAGCTCCATCCCTCCTTGCACAGAGGCTTTGCAGCAGTTTTGTCTGCACATCCCTGCTGGGTGAGGGGTAGGTGCAGCCTGGCACCTTCACCCTGAGTTGTTTCACTGCTTGCTCATGGAAAAGATATTTTTTAATTGTCAATAAGGAAATGAGGAGGCAGGAGGCTGCAGGAAGACGCACGGTGAGTGTGATCTGCAGGAGTCCCTGAGTCATTCTGCTTGGGCTTGCAAGCCCAGTCCTCTGGCTTGACTGCTATTTCCTACTCATACAATTCTGTACTGAAGGTGCAGCCTCAAAAGCATTTCCAGTAGGCTAAACTCTGTGGTAACACCCAGTTTTTGGATTTTTAAATTATTTTATTATTATTATTCTACCTTTCTCTGCTTTGAATACAAGTTATTTTGTTCCAGACTTGCATGCTTGAAGGATGATGTGGCAAAAATGGAAAGCAGTGCTTTTTGTACATCTTCCTACCATCGCTCAGAGCCACGAAAGCAGACAGGGCCAACAAAAGGGTCTGTCAAGTTAGATCAGCTTAGTTTATTGTTAGCACACTTACACAGTCTCAAAATAAAAAGGTGGCACATCCCAGTGTCTGGAGAGAATTGTGTGTGCAGTGGTGCTTGCAAAAAAAAACAACACCAAAAAACAATGTTGTTTTATAAAGTCTCAAGCAACAACGAGTAAAGACAAGTGAAAACTGCCCAGTAATTTGGTCTTCAGAACAGAAAGCATGCTGCAAATTTCATAAATAATTTTCAGCTAATGATTTGAAAGCACCTTCATTTTTTCTTTCTATTATGCTTGACAGCTTTATATTGCTACCATGGCTTGGTATTCTACTGAGAAATGCATAGCCTGAAACCTTGCAGAGATGAGAATTAGATTACGCAGTCAAGTTATTGGTCTCCTAAAAGTGATGAAATTATTTTTAATTTAATGTGTACAGATTCAGTTTAGCAAATGTGTGGCTTGTTTCTTTGGATTCAAGTGTGTAAATGAGTGTATTTTTACGATTCAATTAGAAAGTGAGAGAGTCTTTTCAGGAGACCCTTTTTGCCTTATGATATCTCAATATGGAAATGCCAGTGAATACCTTTCCTATCGTCTTGCAAGAACAGGTCAAATAAAATGTGTCACATGAAATTAGATTCAAAAAAGATCGTTAGGTTAGTGGAGGTATTTGCCCTAGAACTTCTGTCTGGGATGAAGTAATGAATAAATCACATTGTTGTGTTGCTAGTCCAAAGCTTATCCAGAACATTTTTACATTTATTGGAGGTCTAGTTGAATTAGTGTACCTTGTCTCTATGCCTACGAGATTTGATATATGTTTATAAAGGGAAAGGATGTAATTAAAGGTTTAAGAGTCATAAATGTCCACTACACTTCTCTGCATAATTGGTTCTGCATATGATGAGGTAACAACAAGTAAGGGCTGGTGGGAAGAGAGGTGTTTAAATTCTTTTCTATGAGAGTGGTGAGGTGCTGGAACAGCTGCCCAGAGAGGCTGTGGATGCCCCGTCCATCCCTGGAGGTGTTCAAGGCCAGGTTGGATGGGGCCCTGGGCAGCCTGGGCTGCTGTGAGATGTGGAGGTTGGTGGCCCTGCGTGTGGTGGGGGTTGGAGCTTCGTGATCCTTGAGGTCCCTTCCAACCCTGGCCATTCTGTGATTCTGTGAGGTGGAAGGGATTTAACTGCAGAGTTCTGAGGGATGTGAACTGGAGGTGGCATTTGTTTGTTGATTGCTCTGAAGCTGGGTTATCAATCTTAAAATCCAAGGAGAGGTAAAGGAAAACAAAGGGTAACACAATTAAATTTTCAGAGATACTGTACCCAAAAAGGCCATTTTATTTCTAAGAGATTCCTTGCTGTATGAAATCATAGAAGACCCTTTGAAACCTGGGCAAATAGGAGGAAATTCTTGAACTTAAAGCACAGATTTTTTGATGAGTCAGGTAATGTCAACCACTTCTTTTTGCTGCCATGGGAAAAGAAAAAAACAACCCAAATGCAAAAAAAGCAAACGTGTGTATTCTCATCTGTGGCAATGCTGAAATACTGAACTTTTCAAAATGGAAATCTTGATGCAGATTTGTTTCCAAAGAGTTTGCATCCTCCTCGCTGCACATTGTAATTGCACAGCCTCAGAACAAGATTGAATTTGCTGTATTTACAATAATTACGCAATTAGACATAATTAGACTAATTATACAAACCAGTGGAGAAAATATATATATTTTTACCAATCTCTGCAATCTAGGGACATGATCCAGAATACCATCGTGAGTTCAACTCACCAGTTCAACTCAGAGTCTGCAGCTAAGGACTGAGCTGCTGCTCTTTGGGTCCAATCCAGAAGTTAATAACTTGGGTGATGTTGTTCCCACTGCCCTGGATCAGGCCCTTCTCTAGTCCAGATAAACCCCTTTTCAAAGCAGGATCTTTATCCTCAGGATCAGCCATTCCAGGCTTGGATCATGCAAAAACTGAATCAGTGTGAGCCTGATTTTAATCACATCATTTTTTATGGGACTGATTGTACATACAAAAGCACTTCAGTTCCCATGCTCCAAACATTGACTGAGTTTGATTTAATGACAGTCTCTTTTCCAGTCTCTTTTATTTTCTTGCTATCTGTATCTTCTCTTGTACTGTCTTTGTTGGTTTTTTTTTGTGATTTCTTTACATTTGTTTCACACACTACAGCTACACAAACTACATTCTCCCCTAGATATACCCAGGCAGTTGATGCACATGACATTACTAAAAACACTGAAGATGTTTCCCAAGGCATATGGAAATCAAAAGCTGTAGCAGTTTGAGCAAGACAAAGGACAATTGACATTTTTCAGAGTTTGCTTTTTGGCTGTTCTGTGAGCTGTGGGTCACTGTTGGCCTCCCTGGGTGCTCTGCCATTCCCAAGCATGATGCTTCTAGGGATAAACAGAGGCAAAGACTTGGAAGTGGGCAGCAGAAGGAGGAGATGGCAGTGGAAATCTTGTAGAAAACTGCAGTTTTCTCTTGATTGTGTTGGAAGGAACTCCTTCATTCACATCCCACTCAGGCCCCTGGATTGTTGTTTCCATCATTTAAACTGGCTAAACATAATATCCATCAGGAGCTCGTTTTCAAAGGAAAACCAGCAAGATTTCTGTAGCTTAAGATTGTTTTCATCAAGCAGATTGTACCCTGCGATACGATATCCAGAATAATTCTGTGACTTCAAAGGCTGCCAACACAATTTCCCCCTGTCTTTTTTCTCACTTTCAATATATATAAGGTGGGCTATGGTGTCAGGCTATGCCAGAAATTGTTTTTTTCTGCTATTTAAAAAGATAAGTTCTAAGCAATTCTAAAGTAACTTATAAGTCCTCCTGGCTTATCCTCCACAGGTTTTTCCTAACACTCTTTTTTCCTCACGCAGGGGGAAACAAAGATCCTGAAGCTGAAGAACCTCCGGCCTCAGGACTATGCCAACTACAGCTGCATCGCCTCAGTGAGGAATGTCTGCAGCATCCCTGATAAGATGGTGTCCTTCCGACTCTCCAACAAAACAGGTGGGCCTCCAGCAGCTCATTTGATGTCCTGTTGAGGTCTGTTGGGCTGCACAGCATTCTTCTCCCACTTAACACACAGAATGTTAGGATTGTTCATGTTGGAAAAGACCACTGAGATCACCAAGCCCAACGCCAACCCATCCCACTGTGCTCCTCAGTGCCACGAGGGTTCTTAGAGTTAGGGGGGTAGTATGGTTAGGTTGCAGTTGGACATGATGATCTTTGAGATCTTTCCCAATTCTATGATTCTGTGATTCTATGTGTGTGCAGCCACACAGCGTTAGGAATTATTTAGGAGCACGTTGTACAGGCAGTTGTTTTCCCTCTTCTCACCAAAGGTAGGATTTGGAGAACAGTTGATCCTTGAGGTCCCTTTTTATTATTTCGGTCAATGTTTATCACTCTCTAGGTTCACACAATTCACATTTTTCTCCCATGTCAGAGAATTTTCTTGGTATGAACAGACTTGATTTTAAAGAAAGTATTGCAGTGAGGTAGAAAGAAAGCACAACTCAGCCAGTGCTGGGCACAGAGGAGAACATCTCCTTCCAGTCCTCCAAACACTTTCAAATACTTCGCTCAACACTTTGCTGGAAACTAGTTATTTTAAATCAACAAAGTATTTTAAGAAAAGAATCAGCCTTTTTGTATTCTTACATCAATTTAAATGATTGATTTATATATTGATGCACTTGAGATGTTCTCATGATGAATTGAACGTCAATTTCTTACTTAGAAAAGAAAAAATAACCCTTTTTTTCAGAGTTTCATTGCTTCAAAAGGAAATATGCAAAATAGGTCAGGTCACGGTGCTCTGCAGCAGACATTTATCTATCTTTGACCAAGCTCTGTCCATGTTGTGGTGTTTCTTGTGCCTTTGCTCTTTTCTTTGGACTTGTCCCTGTGCAGACAGCACTTGTGCATCTTCCCCTTAATTTTTACTGCTGTGGATCTGTAGGGCCTGCTGATCTCACGGTGTGCAGGCATGCTGACGTGTGCTGATTTCCAAGAGGACGGAAATCATAGGTTGTGATTCCCTTACAGGTTCCATGTCCAGGATCAACAGCTGATGTGTCTTACGTGGCTTATGGTCAAAGAGCAAAGTCCTTGGCATAGGGTTATAGAAGTGTTTTCCAGAGAAATGTTCTCAGGAAATGTTTGAAGGCTTTATGTTATGGGAGTTGTGCCTTAAAAGTGTATGCCTTGGAGCACTAAAAACGGGTAGCAAATGAAAAAAATAGCTGAAGCATTAACATGTCAAGGCTAGGCTGGATGGGGCTGTGAGCGACCTGCTCTAGAAGGAGGTGTCCTGCCTATTGCAGGGTGTTGGAACTAAATGGTGTTAAAGATACCTTCCAACCCAAACCATTCTGTGATTCTATGCTGAGTGTGTCTAAGATGAAGTATGAATTTTATGTGAACCAGCACATTTCACATTATTTCTGCCCTCCTGGCTTTATTTCAGGGAGTTGCCTTCAGCTTTTTCTGAATTTCTGATTGGTAGGCAGGGACTATGAAACTATGGGATGTCTCATTTCATTGCACAGCCCAGTGCCGAGCAAATGGCCAGCACTGGAGCTGCTGCTGGTAGTAGGGGAGTTACAGTCAGCCCCAGAGGTATCCATCAAAATATATTGGAAGCACTTGTTTTATTCTTTTACTGATTTTGCCAGGGAAAAAAAAAAAATAAATCAAAATGTGACATTTGGCTTTCTTTTACACTAAAACAAAACCCAGAAGTTTGTTTATGTTGTGGTAATGAGAAAATTGAAATAGTGTGATTATTCTGATCTAAGCATAGCTGATCATGATCTAATTCTACAACAAGAATGAATTATTTCCACATTACTAATGTCATATTTATTTATTTTGGGAGAAAACTTTCTTTTCCAGGAGGTTGTGTTGGTACATTAACAGGAATAGCTCTTCTAGAATAGCTGCTGAGGTAAACAAGCCTGGAAATGTATAAAGATTCACACTATCTCATGAAAACCTGGTGATAGTTGTCATCAAGGGCAAGATTAAGTAGATATAATAATTACTGTAGTAATTTAAGGACAGTGACTGATGTGTTGATGACTCTGGGACAAAACTTTTCTCATTTAATGTGACATCTGGTAAAGCTATTTGGTAGAACTTCACCTGGTGTAACTTCAGAGAAATTACATAAATCATCAATGGAGATGAATCCAGTATAAATCCACCTTGATGGATATCAGAACCTGAACTTGACATGTTTTAAAAGAGCAATCCCAGCCTGCCCACTTGCTTTTAATTGAAGGCTGAATGCCCATTACTGCTACGTCAGTCTACGGAAACAATAGAGAGACGAACAGAAGTGTCTGTGAGGTTTGCAGACACGCGTGGTGTTTCTGGTATGTGAAGTGCCTAGAAGTTAATTTAAGTTTTTCTGCTAATTATGTGTAAAACTGGTGGCAATTTGGCTACTCTGCATTTCTCAGGTCTATAAGCAAAACTGGTGGGAGAGCTTTGGTTGAACTTCACTTGGCAGTTACTGCTGAGAGATGACCAAGGAGAACAGCCAAGCCCTACATCAGCTGTGGGTTCCCCCCTTGATGCAGTTGTGATTGTCTGCCTGGCTTCAGGCTTTTATTGCCTCAGACAGCATTGTGTGGTTTGCCAGGCTCCCTTTGATGGACTGTCTTGAGGGTAATGCTGGAAATACTTTTCCTTGCCAGAGATGTGCACTACAGCTTGGGCAGCTCAGGGCCATGATCTGTCCCAGCAGCCATATGGCCTCTGTGAAGGTTTGTGGACCATCTGCATGGCATGCTTATGCTCAGCAGGATGCCAGCATGCTGCCATTTGTCACCCATGGTGAGCAGTGGCAGGAATTGGTGCTCAGCAGGTGTGAAACCAAACCAGTGCAGCAATTGTTGTGTCCCTTGGAACCAATAGTGCTCTGTGGCATCCTGCTGCTGCACTGCCCACAGTGCTTCACAGGCACTGAGGTCTCCACAATGACAATTGGGTCACCTGTTAAACCTTCTGCTGGATCACCTCTTGTTACTCTAAGAGAGTACAGATTCAGAGATGCATCACCAGCTTTTTCCCTGTTTCTTTCTTGGAAGCACTCAAGCCTCCCATTTTCTCCTGTTGCTGTTTGAAGCACAGAGTCTTTCATGCCTCTGTATTCCTGTGCACACACCAGAGTGAAGAGACTAATTTGAGAGGCACTAGATATGTCTCTGGTGAGCAGATTGGGCTTGTGCTCAGTGTGGCCTGTCCCTGTCACCTTTCTGTTCTCTGTGCTCACTCCATCGTGCTCATTATTTGATTGTGTGTCATGGCATCACCAGAACAATCAATTACAATGATAAAACCAATCGCAAGGAAACTTCCTGCCTAGTTTGTGAATAATTAGGGAAATAATTAAGCTGATGCCATGAGATGAACATGTATTTATCAGTATACTTTGGACAAGGTTTAAGTTTAAAGTGTTACACATAGGTATAATTAGGTACACTCACACCACCCTCATTCAACCACAGTGTCTTCATTACATTGGTTCTGCACAAGTATGTGAAGCCTTAGACCTACCATCATATATATCTGTAGGTACTTCAGGAGCTGGAGTGCATTGGCATTGCTTTCCAGACATGCGTATTTCTTTGTTCCAGTGCAGACTAGTTTAAAATACAAAAATAAAAAAGATTTTGTAATGAGAGAAACTGAGATCATCTCAGAAGCATGTGACTGTGCATATGCTGAAGCCAAATATGACAATTAGCACTAATATTGTACAGCAGCATGTATAGAGGCACTTGTCAAGCCTAGACCCACTTTGTACCTCACGACAGCTATTACTCTGCAAATGTAGTTCCTAAATGAGAAATCTGAAGGGAAGCAGAAGCACTGTGAAATGTTTCACCTGCTGTCAGATTGCTCTTGAGTGGCAGGAGCAGAAATAGAAGTCAGGATGTGAAGAAGAACAGCAAAGGGACTAATTTTGCAACTCTCATTTGTTTTTAGTAGACTAAGTCCCTTTAAAATCAGAAGACAGAAGTTAATTTGGGTAAGTTAATGCAAGCGGGAGTTGTAATAAACCAAATGCAGCTGCTTTGCAAGAAAATCAAGGGGTTGTTCTGACAAGGAGGAGGAACCCTAACAATTTTCTCAGTATATGTGCTTGAATCCAGGCTGTTGGGAGAGGAGCAGCTGCGAGTGGGTGTCACACTGAGTCACGACCTCCATACTTTCTGTCTACGCTGCCAGTTTTTGCTGTATCTCATGTACACGCTGTACCCAGGAAGACAAGCTGGTTGCTCAGATTCTGGCTCCTACTCTACCCTTGGGGTTTTTCTTGAGGGTGCTACTACCCCATCTCTTTTCTGAGGCCCTGGAGAGTTCTTGCATAGTATTCACACGTTCTTCTCCCCATTCAAGTTTTTCACCTTCTTAGAGCTCTTGATGTATTTGTGTTCCTCAGCCTGGTGACATTTTCTCTCCAAACAGTCCTCATAGCTGGAAGCAGCTGAAGCACAGAAGACTGCACTAGCAGCAAATGCTTCTGGGGTGGGGAAAGCACACCATATGGGTTCTTTCTTCTCATAGGAATGGCTCCTATCTGCTCTTACTTACAAGTGTCTTGGAAGCACTCCTTTGTCTGCCTTTTCTTCCTCTTGCCTTTTGTTTGGATAAAACCTGGCCATGATCTCCATACTGTCCTTACAGCCAGACTGGTGACATGTGGCTGACTGGAAGAAAACTGTCTTTGTGCTTGAAGGGGCTGCAGGATGTCCAACAGGTGGCCATTTATTTGAGTCATCCCTCGGAGATCAAAATCAGAAAAAGTGCTGCTCAACATCTTTCCTAATGACAAAAACAATTGAAACGGGCGCATTTGGGGCCAACTTTGGGAGGGCAGGCAGCAGCCTCATGAGGGAAATGCCATGTCCTTCCCCTTGGGAGAAATAGGCCCAACGCAGGAGTACATTGGGCCCAAACTGGGTAGAAAGCAGCTCTGCAGGAAGAGAGCT